TGAAAAAGTTTTAAATAAGTTAGAATTTTGGAATTTTTTGACTTATGAAAGAAAAATAAAATTTGAATGATTTGAAATTTTAGAATAATTTGAAAATTTAAACTCTTAAAATATAGCATCTTAGGATTTTAAAAGTATTAAAGTCTCAGAGTTTTGAGATTTAGACTATTTAGGCTTTAAAATATTTTAAAGTTTGAGCTTTTAAATATTTAATCTCTTTAGGTTTTAAAATTTTCAAAATTATGGCTTTTAAAACATAGGACTTTAAGAGCTTAAAAATATTAAAAATCAGTTTTAAAATGAAAGCTCAGAAGACTTGAAAATATTTTGAAATTGAGTTATTCAGTTGTGGGCTACTAAATTAAAAAAGATAAATTCAAAGTTTGAGCTATTTGAACTTAGGTTGAAAGGGGCGAAGCATAGCTCAAATATTGAGTATTCTGAAATCCTGAAATTTTCCGCTACCAAATTTGCAATACTTTTGCTAGCGAACAGAAGATGGTTCCTTTTTCAAAGCCTAAAATCAAAATACTTTTGAAATATTTTAAGCTCCAAACAACTTCAAAATTTGTAAGAATTTCTTGGTTATCTCTTAAGTCGAATGAGATATTTTGAAATGTGAGTCCACTCTTAAGACTTAGATGAGTACCATTTGAGATACTTTTAAGCTATATATGTTATAAGGTGTTTATATAAGTGATGCGTGCTAGAAAATTTGCGGCGGTAGAATAACGGACTTTCGTCTTATCATTGTACGAAAGTTCAACACACACACAGATGAAAGAGAAACAAGCAATGATGACTCCATAAGTTTTTACATGGAAAAACAGTAAAGGAAAAACCACGGGGTCTGGCTCAGTTTTTTTTACTGAAATTCCTTGTCTCACAGACGGGAAATGGTAATTATATTTTTTTTAGATTACAACGTAGACTGGCGACGTCTGGTTGGTGGTGATATGTGGTGGTTAGTGGGAGTCGATGGGGGGTGTGATAGTCGGTGGTGGTCGACGGCGGTCGGCGGTGTTCGTCGGAGGTCGACGGCGGTCGGCAGTGTTCGTCGGAGGTTGGCGGTGGTGCTGAGCTGCAGCTTCTCCTCAATGCGTCAGACTCTCTCTAGACTCTAGCTCCTCTTCATGTGATGGTTGGGGGTCTATTTATAGAGTTCTGAGTGCAATTAATGCTGGAATATCAACCATTTTGATCGGACGGTCTAGAGAGTTTCTCCGATCATGCCACATTTAATGGACATTTGAGTGCATTAACGATGTCAGAATTGAGTGATATTGGGCTCGTTGGATTCGTCTTATCTAGCCACTCGATTCGAGTATAAACTTAACAGTGCAACATCTATTTGACGTTCCAAATGTGTCTAGAAATCTTATAAGGGTGGTTTAATGACGTGATATGAGCATGATTTGACTCGGATTGGACTAGTTTTCATATCATTAGGTCTGTATCATCGAGCTAGTCAGTTTAACTATAAGTTTGCTGAAATCAGAGCTCTGGATGACATTTTATCAAGATTTAAAGGTTTCTTGCTTAAAATATCGTCTTGAGATTTGTGTTCTTTCGTCTTATCATTGTACGAAAGTTCAGCACACACACAGATGAAAGAGAAACAAGCAATGATGACTCCATAAGTTTTTACATGGAAAAACAGTAAAGGAAAAACCACGGGGTCTGGCTCAGTTTTTTTTACTGAAATTCCTTGTCTCACAGACGGGAAATGGTAATTATATTTTTTTTAGATTACAACGTAGACTGGCGACGTCTGGTTGGTGGTGATATGTGGTGGTTAGTGGTAGTCGATGAGTGTTCGTCGGAGGTTGGCGGTGGTGCTGAGCTGCAGCTTCTCCTCAATGCGTCAGACTCTCTCTAGACTCTAGCTCCTCTTCATGTGATGGTTGGGGGTCTATTTATAGAGTTCTGAGTGCAATTAATGTTGGAATATCAACCATTTTGATCGGACGGTCTAGAGAGTTTCTCCGATCATGCCACATTTAATGGACATTTGAGTGCATTAACGATGTCAGAATTGAGTGATATTGGGCTCGTTGGATTCGTCTTATCTAGCCACTCGATTCGAGTATAAACTTAACAGTGCAACATCTATTTGACGTTCCAAATGTGTCTAGAAATCTTATAAGGGTGGTTTAATGACGTGATATGAGCATGATTTGACTCGGATTGGACTAGTTTTCATATCATTAGGTCTGTATCATCGAGCTAGTCAGTTTAACTATAAGTTTGCTGAAATCAGAGCTCTGGATGACATTTTATCAAGATTTAAAGGTTTCTTGCTTAAAATATCGTCTTGAGATTTGTGTTATGCTTCGAAATTTGTGTCGGATGATGAAAATTTGTTGGTGACGTATCATTAAGCAAATTAATTATGCACATTTTCAAAATCTTGCATATGCTCCTTGATGTAAACTTCATATTAAATTGTATAGAATATGGCTTGAAGTTTATGCAAGTTTGTAAAGCTTATTAAATTCTTTAAACTATTTGAATATATGAAATCTAAAAGCCCACATGTGCTCCAACAAAATATATTGAATGCTCAAATATTAGGTTCGAGAATTGTGTATGGGCTAATTGAGCCGCATTGTCTATAGGATAGGATCGTAAGTCCCACCCGACTAGTCTCATCCTCCTTCTCGTAAGGACTAAAGTTGACAAGTCTAGTAAGATCAAATGAACGCCAAATTCCTGAAATAAGGATTTACAAATCCAAATCACCTAGTCAAATCCTCTTCCTTATAAGGACAAGAGTCAACATGACTTATACTTTGGAAAGCTTAAGCTAACAAAGTTAAATTTCCCCTCCTTTCAAATATAAAAGCTTTAAATGTTCAATTCTCTAATGACGGTTGTTTTGATAGAAAATTTCAACTGAAGGGGTCAATTTCTTAAATCAATATTTTTAAAGTAATCAACTAAAATGTCCAAATAAAATTGAATCACCTTAGAGATTTAAAGCAAATTTCGTCCACCCTTCATAACAATTTGTCAATGGTGATAAAATTTTGATTGATTTCAACTCACAATGAACGAATGCCATATCAAATGTATCAATATATTCACAATCAGAGTAATTGTGTGTCGGTAAAGACGTGACCCAAGTCATCTTTCTGTGTGATTCTACTGCTAAATGACACCACAAAATAGCGGTTACGATTAGCGTCATCTGACCGAATGATTGTCGCTAAATGACACCATTATATTATGGTCACGACTTCAACCTGTATGTTTTCCAATGACTTTTCACTAATTGAGTTGTGAATCACAAGGGTACTATTGTTTGTCATAAACCCTTATGTTAGCTAAGGTCAACTAAATTTTGTTTCCTTGGACAAATATCTACCCCAAATTTATAAGGATCTTTTGGACAATGCAATCCATGACCGTTGATAAGAATCATTCTGTCAGGCTAGTTCAACTACCTCTTTTGTCTAAGTAGATTAAGGAAGATGCCCCATGATGACAGAATCATGTGATCTTGATCGTGTTTCGTCTGCATTCCCCTACCATCCGATTTAAGCTTCAAGTGATGAATTTTGCAACTTAGATCCTAATTTTGCTACTATTAAATATTAAATTTTCAATTCTTAATAAATAGCCTTAATTGAGAGTGATCTGTCGCTATGAGGAAAAGTATTTAACCATAGGAGCTTACTCCCATGGGAAAACTCAAACCCTGAATCCATAAGTCATCGCTAAATGATGACGAAATCTTTGGGATAGTGTTTTATCTACAATCCAATCTGCCTTCTGAAATTTGACCCTTCAAAGCTCTCTCAGCAAATCAAAAATAAAAATAAACACTGAGTATTTCGGGGAGCGGTCATAATTTTTTGGAGCCCACAAATAATATATGAAAGCTCAACACTAGCTTAAGCCATTCATGAATAACTTATAATTATACCAAGCCAAATCCAAATTATGATATACTCGACTCGATTGCAACCTTAATTATAACTTATGATGCTAGTTTGTTTGTATGTTTAATTCTAGTGAAGTAGAAGATAAGTTGTATGAAACTATGAGGTAATAAGCTGCTGCAATGACTACAAGTTTAGAAGTACACACTTCTCAAATATAATATATGAATGATGACATACACACATGTTGGAATCGATACAGTGATGCAATAATGAATGTGCAAGCAACATTCAGCAACAATATAAGGTGAATATAAAGAGGCAAAATAAGTGAAAGAGAGTCAAACAATACAGTAAGATAGAGAGCGAGAGAGATGTCAGAAAAAGAATATATTATTTTATAATTTTTAACATGATTGTTTTGATTTCATTGAAAATTACATTACTTGATAATATATATTTTGTGCTCAATTTGAATTGATTATGTTATAAACAATACAACAATGCAAGCGTAGAAATGATTTTTATCATGAAAAAATTTTCTGTCCGAACTCAGGACGTAGTTCTAAATGCGGATTCCCAGTAATATATCACCACGTGCGCTACATCGCGGAAGTTATTCTAAGATTATTGAAGTGGAACCGCAGAAGTTATTTTAGGGTTATTTACTAGTTATTGATGAGAAACTAATATATTTCACTGAAATAACCCATAAATAACATCGAAATAATCTTTGTGATTCCACTTCAATAACCCTGACGCGGAAATTATTTTGGGGAGAAATTATTTTGGGAATATTGAAGAGAAACTCATATATTTAACTTTAATATCCCTGAAATAACACAAAAATAATTCTGAAAAAATACCGCGGAAGTTATTTCGAGATTATTGAAGAGAAATTTATATATTACACTTCAACAACCACAAAATAATATCACAGAGATTATTTTAAAATTATTTTCAAATTATTACAAGATTATTGTAGAGTCCGTAACCTTACTTCAATATTTTGAGCCCGTAACCTTACTTTAATATTTTGATAGCACACATGTAAATTACTTGGAGTCCAATCCTGAAAGAAATTTTTTTCTTTTTTCATAGAAGAACTTTCTGCCGAAAGGGATCCCAGATCAAACTTTGTTGTCCCGCGCGTTTCCAAGCGCCACTAGCCCCGTGATGAAGAAGCAAACCGAAGATGCTCTCAAATCTCCGCAGCCCAACCCCGCCTTTCTCCCTCGGCGTGAACGGGGTCTGGTCACCGGACGAGAAGCTCTGCTTCAAGCTCCTACAGCAGATCCGCTCAACGCCCCCTTCTTCCTCTTCTCGCCATCTCTCCTCCCTTCATCAAATCCACGCCTTTCTCCTCCGCCGCTCCCTATACAGCAACATCCACCTCCTTACTCTCCTCATCTCGACCCTTTCCAATGTTGCCGCCGCTCTCTCCGGCACTTTTCCTGTTGCTTCCATGTCCGCTCTACACCTCGCCCGCCGCGTCTTCGACTGTCGCATTGCACAGGACACACTTCTCTGCAACTCCATGATCCGTTCTCTCGTCCAAAATCGTCAGCACCACGAATCGGTTTCTCTCTACCGAGACCTCCGGCGATTGCCGGACTTCTACCCTGACAGCTATACTTTCCCTTTCCTTCTTAAAGCCTGCGTCTTTTTGCACAAACCAGGAGATGTGAGAGAAGGCTCGCAGTTGCACGCTCATATTGCCAGAATGGGGTTTGGCTGTAATCTATTCGTGTCCACAGGGTTGGTTGATATGTATGCCAAAGCTGGAAAGTTGAGCTCCGCAAGGAAATTGTTTGATGAAATGCCCGACAGATGCCCCGCGTCATGGACTGCAATGACAGTTGGTTATGCGAGTAGTGGAGAAGCCGAAGCAGCCATGGATATGTTTCGGTTGATGCCGGAGAAGGACACGGCAGCATTCAATGCTATCATCAACCTTTTCGTAAAATCAGGCGACATGGATTCTGCCCGAAAGTTGTTCGAAGAAATGCGTCAAAAAAATGTGGTGTCTTGGACTACTTTGCTTTCTGGGTACTGTCATGCCGGCGACATGATTTCTGCAAGGCATCTGTTTGATGAAATGGCTGACAAGAATCTTTTCTCCTGGAACGCCATGATTGGTGGTTACAGCTCCAACCGGCAGCCTCACAAGGCAGTAGAGCTCTTTAGAGAGCTGCAGTCACACTCATCCCTGTTCGTCCCAGATGAAGTCACGCTAGTGAGCATCATTCCCGCCATTGCTGACATGGGTGCGATGGACCTCGGCCGATGGATCCACAGCTATGCTCGGCGGCGGGAGCTTGACGACACGATCAAGGTTTGCAACGCATTGATAGACATGTACGCAAAATGCGGCGATGTAAATGAGGCAAAGAAAATCTTCACCTTGATGCTTAAAAAAGAAACAGCTTCATGGAACGCTCTTATCAACGGACTGGCTGTAAACGGAAGGGCAAGGGAGGCTTTGGCTGCGTTCATGGAGATGCAGCAGAGTGGAGTTAGCCCTGATGAGGTAACGATGGTTGGGGTACTGTCAGCTTGTAGCCATGGTGGGCTTGTTGAGGAAGGGAGGAGGTGGTTTAAGGAGATGGAGAATTTTGGCATTGATCGGAACTTGGCACACTATGGCTGTATGGTGGACATGTTTGGGCGAGGAGGGTATTTGGATGAAGCTGAAGCTCTTATCAATAATATGTCTTCTGGTCCCAATGGGATTATATTAAGCTCTCTGTTGTTTGCCTGCCTTTGTTGCAGAGATGTTAGCAGGGCAGAGAGGGTGATGAAGATGGCGGCTGCGGTGGAGCCGGGAAATGTGAGGAATTATGTGATGATGAGGAACTTGTATGCTGCAGAGAACAGATGGGGTGATGTGGAAATTGTGAAGGGGTTGATGAGGAGGTTTGGAGGGAAGGAGGAAGCTGGGTGTAGTGGAGTTGAGGTTGAGAGCAAGATTTGGGAGTTTGTTGCTGGGGATAGTGTGCATCCTGAATCAGAGAGGATCTATTTGGTGCTCAGAGATTTGCAGTTGCAAATGAAAGTTCAAATGGGAGATGAGGTGGAGTTATTATTGGCTTTTTCAAGCTTTTAGAGGAGGAGAAATTGAAGTTTAAATATGGCAGTTTAAGCTCAATCTGCTTATATACTTTCATTAGGATTTGTAATCCTTTACAGAGCCAAAAAATTCAACACCGGTCCGAAGATTTGCATGCATACCACTCTAGTCCTATGTATTTACATATGTACCACCTAAACTTATATTCTTACATGTCACCTTATCCATGCATGAAAAGGTGTATTTCACGTTTTAAAAGTTAAAATGGGGATATTTTTAAGGTGATATGAAAGATTTGGGTGGTGTAAATGTAAAAAAGTAAAGTTCTGGTGTCATATATGTGAATTTATTGGAATTGGGTGGCATGTATGTAAATGCTCCAAAAATAAAATCACTGGTGCATAGTAAATTGGAATATATGATTTTTCTAGTGGCCTTTTTGTTGAAATTTTGGGTGGATAAAAACATTAGTCTTTATGTAAAGTAATACAATACAGGAAATGGTTTAAAGGATGGCAATGGAAGGAGAAAAATCTTGCAACTAGGAACGAAGTATGTACGCAATAATATGTGTTTGGATGGACATTTCGAAGAAGCTTCCAACTAGGGTGCAGATCAACGATCTTTATGGGAGTTTTTTTTTTCCAACCAGCTGAATATGAGGAGAGTTCTCAGGTATGCTTTCATTATGGGATTATCGGCCATAAAGTGGACCTACCGGGATATCAGTTTTGGTTGAAATTCAGAATAATGCGGAATAAAGTAGAATACTTGATTTAATTCATTGATATGAATGGGGGTATAAATAATCCTTACAAGAATCTTATAATAGGAAAATTAATAAAAAAGAAATGATATGAAATGAAAGATATATCACCTAATATTTCTAATAATCAATTCATATTAATTATTAGGAGATATATGGAATAATATAAAATAAATAAATAAATAATTCCTAATCTAAGGAAATATATATATAATAGGAAAGAAAAGAATAATATAAAATAAATAAATAAATAATTCTTAATCTAAGGAAATATATATATAATAGGAAAGAAAATGTCTTCTTAATCTAAAGAAATAATTTATTCCTCATAATATCTTACAAGAATAAATTATTTCATATTATAATTCCTAACACTCTCCTTCAAGTTTAAACAAGGTTGAAAATCACATTCAACTTGAATTTAAAAACATCGAACAATGAGCGAGGAAGATCCTGTAAAGTAGGATTTCAAGTTTTTATCATGTACTGCGGTTGTCTTTGCTTGCAGTTACTGCAGTGTCTGTAGGTAGGCGGAAGGTTCCTACAGATAATGCTGCAGGGAGTTTGCAGGTAAGTATACAGTAGTGGTTGCAGTTCTTGTAGTGTCCGTAGGTAAACATAAAACTTTTACTAGTACTGTTGCAGGAAATTTTCAGGGAAGTTGACAACTTTGATTGCTTTACTACATTTATTGCAGTGTCTGTATGTAGACTGAAAACTCCTACATGTAATGATGTAGAGGAGTTTGCACGGAAGTAGACAATTGTGATTGTCTTTTGACAGCAATTTCTACCGTGTCTGTAGGAAGACACAAAACTCAGGCTTGGCTGAATTTTGAGCTTGTCTGTCTTGTGTTTCGACAAGTAGACTACTGTGTTTGTCTTTTGAATGCAGTTTTTGCAGTGCCTATAGGAAGACTCAAAATTTAGGCTTAGCTGAATTCTGAGTTTGTTTATCATGTGTTTGGACAAGTAGACAACTATGTTTGTCTTTCGACTGCAGTTTCTGCAGTGCCTATAGAAAGTCTCAAAATTCAGACTTGGTTGAATTTTGAGTTTTGTTCGTCATATGTTTCAGCTTAAAGAGAAGATGAATGAGAGTTTCGGCAGCAGAGATGAAACCGACGAAGAAGGGAATGTAGGCTAGTCTTCCTCTTCGACGTAGACGAAGAAATAATGAGACAACGAGCAGATAGCGAGAATCAAGACAGTCAAACGGTTCCTCCGTTCCCGCAAGAAGATCGGTGGGAAGGGAACCTTGACGGTCCTTCCATAACTACTGAAGGTTAGGACAAAAGTTTGGCTCTGATAACATATTGAAATTCAGAATAATGCGGAATAAAGTTGAATACTTAATTTGTTTCATTGATATGAACGAGGGTATAAATAATTCTTACAAGAATCCTATAATAAGAAAAATAATAAAAAAGAAATGATATGAAAGGAAATATGAAAGGAAAGATATAAGATATATCACCTAATATCTCCAATAATCAATTGATATTAATTATTAGGAGATATAATGAATGACATAAAATAGGAAAACAATAATTCCCAATCCAAGAAAATAAATATAAATTGGGAAAGGAAATATCTCTTTAATCTAAGAAAATAATTTATTCCTCATAACTTCGTACATGAATGAATTATTTCTTATTATAATTTCTAAGAGCGGACTCCCACAGAGACCCAACTTATAGCAAAATTTTCCAGTCCAACCCACAGTGATGTAACTCCCCCATCAATTCACCACCCCACACTTTCACTTCTACTAACGACTCTATCCTTGAGCCATTTTTTCTCAGCAACTCTAGTGGGGTTAAAGTCGTGTTGGACAGAGCGGAGTTTGTCTCATTTTGACAAGAAACTAATGTAGTTGGGGCCTATTACAACACTGCCCGGGAAGTGCAAATGCACCAAGGAGACTTTAGAAGAGGACATGGCCTCGGTGGGAGTCACTTTAGTTTCTTTCCCCAAGGAAGGGTGGTTTGGTTGGGCTCACTTGTGCATTCTTTCAAGTGTGGGTTAGTGAAACTTGCTTTTTTGAGCTCAATGAGGGAGCACTAGGATATTGAACCGCCCTCGTGACTGTAGCAAGTGTGGTTCATATTGCAACGACCTACTTCAGTGAATTGATTTTGATGTTAAGTGTAATTGAAATTGTTGAATCTAGAGTTGTTCGGTAGATCACCCAAGGAATAGAACGTATTGACCGAGGGAGAGAAAGAAAAAGAAAGAGAGAGATAAGTGGAGAAGAGGAGGACCTACCTGTCAAGCGAATGGGGCGTTTTTCGGACTCTTAGACTCATTTTATTTCACTTAAATAGTTAGGTTATAATAGTGAGGAATCAAAAAACCTCCCCAATATCTGTCATGGTTTTCTTATTTATGGAAAATAAAGAGAGAGATTACAAGATTATATAATTACTTTTGCTTTAAAAATGATATTACAAATTATTTAGTCTTTTTGTGTGTCCGAACATGTTGCTCGAACTTTCTTTATTCGGCGGCCCCTCGTCTTTGCAGCTTTACTTAGTAATTATAAATACTAATATACATGTTACAATTTATTATATTATTTATATCCTATTAGCTTTTATTTAACCTGTTGTGCTGATTTGGACTATTGAGTGACCAGAAGCTCGAAGTTGGGCCCGTTCGGTGAATTGGCCGGCGACGAACTTAAATAGCTAACTGATTGGTTGGCCAACCAAAAGAATGAAATGTTTGGGTGAAATGTCTTGGAGGAGTGGAATATTTGGCCGGTAAGGTCATAGTCAAATTAAGTGAGTCAACAATGCAAATCTAACGAGCCTAAAATCACTCAATTCCGACATTACTCAAATGCTCTCTTAATATCGTCTGATTAATAAGATCTCTCCAAACAGTTCTATCAGAGTAGTTTGAATTTCATCTTTATTTGCAACGTGGGATTTATAAACAAAATCATACCTCCCTCATGAGAAGGGGACTAGATCCTGAGAAATAGGAAGATCCGAGTCTACGAAAGAGGAAGTTGAAGTCTAGGATCTTTCACTGATGACTTGGCGAACACTTTCAATTTCTGTAGCTGCCGATCACCATCCACCACCTCTATATGTAAATGCCAGAGGAAAATCTCTAGAGCGTTGAAAACAACTTCAATAGATATGATCAACCTTGAATAAGGCGATCATCTACTTTGGATGAATTTGCTTATTTATGAAGTCAATGTAAACATATATATAAATATAGAAGAATATCATTAATGTATCTTTCACTTTGGCAAGTCGTTACTTGGTTATTCATTACACAATTTATACACATGTATAATATAAAATTTTCAATAAAAGCTCATTTCAACCCACCTATAAATATTGGGTTCCACATAAAATCATATATTATCTCAATGCTCTTATTTTCAAATAATAAAAAAGGGGCATTTACATACATGGGACATACATAAGACATAGCACACAATTCTTCATTATTTACACATCTAACACCCAAATCTACAAAAAAATATTACATCAGGACTCCACACGTAGAGCTACGTGCGGAGTCCAATGAAATTACGCCGTGGAGGTGATCAGCCCAGTAACACAAGGGAATATTCCCCTCATGTTATTCAAGTGTTATTACGTGTTATTCAAGTATTATTGTATGTTATTAAGGTATTATTGTGTTTTGGGAATATTCTCGGTATTATAATAACACAGTAACACATCAATAATACTTGAATAACTAACAATAACACCTAAACAACACACAATAATATCTAAATAACACAGGAAAATATTCTCTTGTGTTACCGGACCGATCATCTCCACGGCGTAATTTCATTGACTCTGCATGTGTCCTGATGTAATATTTTTTTCAAATCTACACGCTTCTTTTCTTTCACATCAAAATTACCACTAATTATCACTGTTGGATGGGCCAAATTCATATTTTTTTTGTAAATATTAAAATTTCTGGTCTCTCTCTCGTCATGTACAGATAAAATGAATTCAAGATACAAAATCCTCTCCATTTTAGGGATTATTTTCTTTTTTAGCTTTTTTCGCTTAGTGTCTTTTTTTTAAATTTTATATTTATTTTAAAAGCACGAAAAATAATTTTTTGATATTCTAAGTGTTTTTAAAAAAAGGGGCATTTAAATACATGGCACACAATTTTTATATATTTATATATCTAAAATCTAAATTTTGATATTTACATGCATATCACTCAAATATTTGACATCACAGCTAAATATCCACCATAACTAATTTTTTTAAAAGGCAAATACACCATGCCACGCATAAGGTTATAACATTAAGGTAAGGTTATAACATTAAGGTGTTATAAGTATAAATATGAAATTTTGAATAAGTTGACAAAATTATGCATACAAGCTATTAGCAGCAGTCCTCCACCATCATGATACTAAACATGTTTGTGGTCTCCTGGTTCACACGCACAACCTATAACCATCTCTAGAATTTTCATGTATACCTTTATATAAGCAACCTGTGTAAAGCTAGAGTATATTGAGAAAATGAAATGCATCTGCACTTGTTACTAACTATTTTCCTGATTGTTGTTCTCTACTATGTGCTTGTTCCAAAATGTTGTTTTTCATGCATTAGATAAGCTGTTGTTATCGTATGAGAGCCAGACTGTGAAAAAAAAAATGGAGTCCAAGGAGTCTATTTGGGGATGTGAGAGACCCACTCTCTGCTTGATGACCTAGCATGAGCTTCGAAGCATCATGATTTTTCTCATACGAAAAATAACCTTTCTTTGATTGTCCCTTCTTATTCGGTTTCTCTCATCTTCGAATCACTGATGTGATTCGAGAGGGAGATTTATTTAAATAAGAAAAGTATACAACGATCGACAAACTGACAACTCTTTTTAAAATAAAAAAAAAGAAAAATGAACGAAAACACCAAAAGAGACCACAGTCTTCCTCCATCAAGCGCTCTCATCCACAATCCAACTCTCTATCGCCAATTGATGGGCTCATTTCAACATCTCACGATCACTCAACCAGACATATCTTATGTAGTAAATTGGCTATGCCAACAAAGGCACTCTCCAACTACAACTTAATGCAAAAAGCTAACCCACCTTCTGGGATATTTGAAAGGCACCAATCACTTTGGACTATACATCCATCCTGAAGACCTTCTTCTCCGCTGCTATGCAGAGCAGGCTGGGCAAGTGAATATGCTCCTTCATAGGCGATGCCCTCATTTCTTGTACTGTTAAGCAATAATCAACAGTGGTCAGGTCATCTACTGAAGCGGAATATCAGATGTTAGCAATTACAACTACAGATGTCCTTTGGCTCTGTCGACTCCTACAAGAATTTAGAGTCACATTCTAGAACTCGACACCACTCTATTGTGATAACAACCTTGCCAATAATTTCGTCTTTCAAGCCAAAATGAAGTATATTAAAATTGAACACCATTGTATGCGGAATCACATCGAAACAAAGCACATTCAAATTGATCCATACCCAGGATGAGTTCACTGACATCCTCATAAAGGCCCTACCAAAACAAAAATTTCAGGAGCTACGTGCCAAGCTTCTTGTTCTACCGAGAACACTCAACTTGCAGGGAGAGGGAGGTAGTGACACTCCACCACCATGATACTCATCATCTTTATGGTTCCCTGGTTCACGTGCACAACCTCTAACCACCTAGTTATCACGTGACAACACTCTAGAACTTTCATGTATACCTTTATATAAGAAACCTGTGTAAATCTACAGTACATTGAGAAAATGAAATGCATCTGCATTTCTTACCAAATGTTTTCCTAATTATTGTTCTCCACTCTGTGCTTCTTCCAGAGTGTTGTTCTTCATGCATTAGATAAGCTGTTATTACAAGCAATGAGCCCACAAAGAAAATAATTTCTTAAAAATTAAAATTTTCAAGCATTAAATTTCCTAGTGCGATGCAAATTAATTTAATAGTACAAGCATGTCTTACCGTATGTTAAGCTAAAATTACAACCTTACCTTAATTTTTGGCTCACATTTTAATTTCAAGGACAATTGATACAGCTTTTGTTATATGTCAACTTTAATGTATTTGAAATATACAGAGATTCACAATCCTATATCATATTTTGTGATTAGAGACTCTTTGACATTGATTTTCTCCACATCACTGTCTACTCAGTATCTACAACTATTAATGAACCATTTGTCGTGATGATAAATTTGCATGATAGTGATTTTTAAGACTTTCATTTCCACTTAAAACTCGAATTGGCCTCTTTGGTGTTATCGAAGTAGGTACAAATAAGGGTTGGATTATATTGTGTGCCTCCAGTTCATCATTTTGGTGATCTCATTGTTAATTTTAGGTCTTCTAATTCACCCTATCTAGTCAAGGGGAAGCCATTAATTATTTGTTGATAATGTCATTTACCATTCACACTTTATTTATAAAAATGATTATCTTACTGTAGTTAATCATTTACTTTGAAATGTTTAGTTTACTATTAGTCGTTTAGAAGAAAATATTATTGGGAATATGAGTGCAAGTAGAAGGCCATCATCAATAACAAGTCATAGATTATGAGTACATAAACTATGATAATATCTCAAACAAAGAGTCCTTACGTAAATTGGATTAAGGAATTGAATGAATCAACCAAATAATGATTAGATAAAAAAAAAATTATATCATACAGGAATCATCCTAATCACATTCAATGATTAAGATTATTTTTTCTTGGTTCTTTTTAAATACTCGAAGTCGATGACTTTTCTATTTATATGTCTTCGTATAATTTAGTAATTTGAATAAATCTCTCTCATAAATCATATAAATGATTCAAATATGAGAGGAGTCAAATATAAAGGAGATACGACAACAAATAAACAAACAAATAAAAAGAAAAAAAAAGTGAAGACTTATATATGAGTAATCCTTGTGTGATGTGTTGAGAGTATACGTCCGAAGAAAAAAAAAGTGAAGACTTATATATGAGAATCCTTGTGTGATGTGTTGAGAGTATACGTCCGAACAGGATCAGATCAAAATATCTTGAAACACAACATCAATGAAGAGAATTCTTACATAAATCACCTGTAACCAGAGTAGAGAACTAAAAAGAACATTTTTGTTTTGTGGTCAAGAGTCTTCTAGATGAACGTATCCTTCTTGTTAGTTACATCTTTGAGGATAACCAAGAATACTCTTGATAAAAGCAGTTTCACTTATATTATTATGAATCTGGAGAATAGGTCATCATAGCATGGTTATTTCTTATGGGAATGTCATGACGCTTCAAAGCTCTAGCTAAATCACGGGACAGAGAGTGAGTCTCTCACTTCCTAAATGAGTAGCGACTCTTAGGCATGCAAAGCTTATGAAATAATCATGATCATCTCAATGGGGAAATCCCTATGCATCAGAGCTCAACCCTACTATAAGTGCAGAGGGTGAATCACCGTATCCCAAATGGGTAGCAACTCATAGGTAATCAGGCGGTCAAGATAATATCAACAACGTTAAAAGAGCGACAGGGCTCAAAGGGGCTCAACAAGAGGAATGGTAGAGTTATCCTATAAGGTTGAGGTAGCGGGTCAGGGTACCACAAATCCGTCATCCCAAGCTACTAGGACCCGAAGTCTACTTGGTAGTGAAGGTATTCGACCCAACACGTCCAAAGATCCCTTGCTACCAATTTGTGAATTACATCGTCCATAGGGACCTCAGTAGCCCAAAAGTCAAAGAAATGAAACTCTATCATATAACTATAGGTGGAGCTCCAAACGGTAGGACTTGTACCAGCCAAAGTGGTACGGATGCCACAAGAAAGAAAGGAGAAAGGGAGGTTCAGCTACAAAACTGGAAATGCTCCAGACGAAAGGACTTATAACCATCTGGGTTGGGGGTCTTTTAACACTCTACACACACTAGACAACCACCTAAGTAGAAATCTATGTTGGGTCAGGCAGATTGAAAAAGTTTGAGAGCTTTTCCTTGAGACAAGCAAATATGATGCAGTTATCTACTGCAATTCTAAGCGTGGAGGTCCTATTATATGACTTGGATGATAAACATGCATGCAACTATTATAAAATATGACCCAAAGCCATGCAGAAAAGTAAATGTTAAAGTCTTGAATATTTTAATCCTAAAATTTTCATTATCATAAATATTTTGTTAAGATTTTATAGTACATTTAGAATTTTAAATCCTGAAGAGCCTATATTGCATTTTTGATTCCCCATACAAACTATAGAAATAAATAATGGAATTCATTTCAAGCAATCAAACATACAATAAAGCAGGAAAACAGACAAAATTAAAATTATAAGAGACTCGTATTGCTAGGTTGGTAACATATCCTATATAAGAAAAATAATGATTGGACTTCGCATATATATGTCTGGTCCTAAATCTATACATCAATATCAAATGTGGAATTAATATACGGGACAAGAGCTGCTACTCCTGGTCCCCTTCCACGTGGTTCCCGCGCCAAATGCCTTAAAATCTGTGCCCATATTTTATTTTCTCTACAAGACTCTCCTAGGACTCTAAAAATTACATAAGAAAAAAAAAACTCGACCGACACAAAAAACATGTTAGAATAGAAAGCTATCTACATGTAGTGTGTCTGAGCCATGCCTAGAGGGGGGATATAAACAACATATGTAAGCAAAAGTTAACATGTAAACCCTCTTTATTGTATCTGTGTGTGTGCATAAATATGTCATGGCTCCTTACAACAAATCAACCCAATATACTATAATGCATGCAAAAAATTGACACACACAAACACTCTAAAACCACAAGCAGAAAAGGCATCAGGCTAGGACAACGAAGTCAACACATAACAATAATCATGCGTAAAAAAATACTACTAGCAACCTAGTTCTAACCTAACACACCATCTAACGGAAAGTGTCCTGACCAACATTTAAGTCCTTAGGGTAAATTCTCTGGTTACCGTATGACTTTGACAAGATCACCACACTGGTCACATCCTGAGATCCAAGAGATCTAAAGCACGTCATAAGAAAAAGTGTGACACTTTAAAGGAGATGACCTCACATATGGCCTAACCTATATGTAATTTTAAAATAGGTGGATAATACTTATAGTAGCAAAAATATTCTTTTTATACTTTAAAATAATGGACCATAAAATGTGGGCCCGAGACGTATGTGACATATTTTAGAGCCTTTGAATCTTTAGCATAATTATATTGTTTGTTGCTCGTGATACAGAAATTAACATTGCTCGCCGAGATATCCTCACAGAAACGTAAAGTCTTGGATGTGAAGCTTTTGCTTTTTATCTCCATCACAAATACAATCTTTCTAGCAAAGATTGATTCATTACTACTTTTGGAGGACCAAGCGCGTATAATGGATGAGTCCAAAAATGAGATAAAATGATATATATTAAATATAATTTTTGTTAATTAATTAAATAATATGAATTGAGTGGAATGTAAATCTATGACCTCTCATTCCGACATTCAATAATCACTAAGTTTTAAGGTCTCTAATTTTTAATCAAATGAGACCAAATCCCAAGGTGGATTTGGATTTACAAGGGATCCCCATCATTAGTTTCCCACAAGCGCAAGGGGAATTTCATTTGTCCTTTTGTAACTTCAAAAAAAAAAAAAAATTCTGGTTTTCCATTTTCCGCAGTTCGGCTCCTGCCATACCTGTTTCATGGAAAGTAAGCGAAGGAGAGCACAACGGAATTTCATTTGTCCTTTTCTAACTTAAAAAAAAAAAACTTCTGGTTTTCCATTTTCCGCAGTTCGGCTTCTGCCAAACCTGTTTCATGGAAAGTAAGCGAAGGAGAGCACAAATTTGCACTAGGATTTCCTTTTAAAGTGGAGAAATATCTCATTTCATGGCGGCTCGACTTCAATTGTTGCGTTCTGGTCAGCTTACGATGGGCCTTTAACGATGAATGCCTTAATTCCTGATCCGGCAAAGCTAGGGTTTACACTTTTGCGGCCGGGAAGATGCCGTTGTCGGAGCTGATTCAGGATTGCTCGGGTTGAAACGCTGTTTCTGTTGATTTTCTTCTTCTGCTTTGGGAGAACATGCGCTATTTTTTGCAGAGATCTTCTTCAGCTAAGGAGCAGAAGAATGAAGAAAGGAGCGGCGGAAGCAGGGCGCACCTGTACTTGAACGTTTATGATCTCAGTCCCATCAACAACTACCTCTACTGGTTTGGATTTGGAATTTTCCACTCCGGAATCGAAGGTGCGGTTTTCTTTCTTGTCGGTAAAGCTGTTTTGGTAGTTAAAGACTCCATATTCATTTCTATCAGTTGTTGAATTTTGGTTATGGACTTTATGGTCTTTAAAAAAAGTTTGTATAGTGCTTGTTTTTTTTTTTTTTTGGGTGAGATGGTTGACTTCACTGGGCCAACCAAATTAGAATTTCGTTGAAATTTTTTCCGATTCAGTCCCACAAATTATGCATTGTGGAATCAAAGTAAACCAATGAAGTGTACACTGACAAAAGTGATGGAGATATATAAAGCTAGATGTGTGATCACAGTGATTATCGATCTATTTAACCAGACACACTATGATCATTTAATATATCAGATGTTAAACTACACAATATATAAGTGTATGCACAATAATAATGGTGACAATATAACACCTCGGGTCCGGAAGTCAATACACCCTTGCAACGAACAACATGATGAAAAAATATATAAACTTGTTTTGCATTCTCAATCGGAAAATTTATAACAAAAAATAGCGGAAGTAAGCAGAAAAATAAATTTTGTTTCATTAATAAATTGAAGTCGACAAGAACTACACCTGAGTGACGAATAATAGACTAACAAGATAGTTAACATCTATTGAAATTACTACGGAAGGAAAATAACAACAAAACAAAAACTACCCAAACCCAAAAAGAAGGGGGCATTTCATGCATACTTAATAAAAAACCTAAAATTTAATTATTACATTTATACCACCCAAATCTTTCATATCACGTCAAAAATATCATGATTTTTTCTTTAAAAACTTAAATACACATTTTTATGCATGACGAAGGTGAAATGTATGTAAAAATTGAAGTTTTGGCGTTATATATATAAATACGAAAGAATTGAGTGGCACGTATGTAAATCTTCCAAAAATTAAATGATGCACAAGGTGAAATACCAAAAGTATCTTAAGATTGAAAGGTTTGCTCCTGTGGAGACATCCTTCAAATAATCTGGTAGAGTCTATTATAAAAAAAATATTAACAAGTGAATTTGGCAAATCAAACTTAATAAATAGCCATTGTTTATTAAAACATAAATAATAATGTATTAGGGTGTACAATATGATACTTTATTATTATTATTATTATATATATATATATATACACTATTGGCGAAAAGCGTGTTGTAAAAAATTGTTATCAAGTCCCAGTGATAGTATAGTGTTAAATCTAATGTCATATTGTCTGGATTAATGAATGTGTTTAATCCTTTTAATGAAATATACTATCATTGACAATTAATTTTGTATATTTCAATACTTTCATTTCTAATACAATTAAGTTTTACGTGTATGACTCAATAATCCTTTATTATTCAATTTCAGTTCAATATATCTATATAGTCGATTTTATTATTTAGTTTGAAATAGAAAAGGTAAACAACAACTCGAAGAAACCCGATTATTCCCTATAAAATGTTAATTTGTGGGTATGTCGGTCCAACTGTTAACATCAAAAAGGTTTCCACTAATCTACATATTATTACACACAAACCTGATGATTTGCTATAGAGTGTTAATTTGTGACGTACCTCTCGATCCAATAAATAGGGAACAAAGTCAGTGAAGGGGGCAGAGCATGCTAAGAGAATTAGTAATGCGGCTAGCAGAATTAGAAAGAAAAGGAAAAGGAACGCACGAGCGAACGATTCAGGGAGGCGGAAAACGTAGAAGGAAAGTCACGCACTTGCCGTGTTGATAAAGGCAAAGACGGTCTTAATTAGGCAATTCGAGTAGACGATGAGAGCTATTGCAGAAAAAGGATTGTTTAAACTTTTACTGATAGTAAAGATAATATCTAAGTATGAATATTTAACTTATAAGCACAAATGGTAGGTGTGAAACTGACACTTGGGAAGAATTCAATCCCACACAATATAAATGGAGAAATTCAATTGAACCAATAAAATGGACACTAACAAAAGTGCAGGAGATATGGTATTGCAACATATATAAAGCTAGATGTGTAACTACATAAATTAGTTAGCACAATAATTATCGATCTACTGAACCACTCAAGTTGTGATCATTTAATATATCAAACTCCAAACTACACAATATACAATGTCCATACAAGAATGGTGATGCTTGTAAAGAATCTCTGCTAAGTGTGAGTATTGAACTTATAAACACAAACATGTAGATTCACTTAGTTACAATAACATTTGATAACATAAATGACCAATCACCGGACAGACAGGCAAAGATTCAACAAATATTTTAATGAGAAATTATGTAAATATATCTATAAAGAGATGAATATAATGTTTTTTACTTGGTTCAGAACCCAATCAACATAAATCCATGGCTAAGTACACATTTGTTTAGGACTCCCCTGAATTCCTTCTTTTTTTGTGTTAGAGAATTCCTCTCCTTATGTAGTGGAGTTGCCAATTCACCTTATCTGACAAACCCAATAAATATCTTTGTAATTAGCCAACAAAAATACATCATAAAGTTTGTAGAAATACCTTTCCAAAGTCTTCATAGATTTGGTGTTTTATCAGGCTAGTGCCATACAGTAAAATGAACTTAATTTCTATGTATAGAACCGCAACCATACAAAGGAAAAAAACAAATCACACTAAAGAAGATTGTGAGAGAGTTGTCACTGTAATGAAAACTAGGAAATCATAGCCTGATGAACACCATAGAACTTTTTCAAATGATCATCTATTAAGCATATCTTCTTCTCTTTTATTTTGAGTTAAATAGTTGTTTTTTTTTGGGAGCTTGAAAGAGGATAAATATGTCATTATACTAATTCATAGAATAAACCCATACTAATACTGCTAATATATGGTCGTTAATGATTATTTGCAAAAAACAAAGTGCTAACAAATTTCTCTGGATTTTAAATATGTCAAATAATTTGAATCATTTATCTATATATATATATATATATATATATTGCAATTGTCAAGTCCCAAATCTCGGATGTAAAAAGTGGAAGGTTATGTTAGGTAATCTAATATGCTATTATAAAGAAATTAATTGTAAGGAATAACTCCCCATCTCTTGGTTTTTTTAACTCAGGGTCATACATGACATTTTATATCTGTTCATAATATAACCAAACGATGTATATTCTCATGTATGTGCATGGCATTGTTTTCATAGGTAATGTCATCCTCCTTCAACAAGGAACCCATCATCTTCTTATAAAATTCTCAGTCAAAGAACTTGGGGAGCTATTGTATTACTTGGTGTTGAATTCATTCCTTCCACTTAAGATATCTTTTTGTCCCAATACAAATGTATTCAAGGTCTCATAGAATTGATTAATACGGAGCACAGTAACAAGCTCAACACTCGCATGTCTCCCAATCAAATATCCAACGTTCTTGGTGGTGTTTCTCTCACCTGCACCAACCAATATTACTCTCTTGTTTACAAACGTCAGTATATCTCTCTCACTCGGCCATATATTACATTTTCATCGCTAATTATTTGTAAACATAGGCCCACTATCGTTCATTGGAATCATTCACTATCTTCTAGCCAATATTTATCATCGCTAATTATTTGTAGCCACTTACCACTATCTTTTTTATGGCTTTTTCGATGCTAACTAGGGAGGCAGCATTTCCAACCAAACCTCCATAAGTGCTCATGTTGTCTTCTTGATGAAAATGCTATTTCTTGGATCTCCAAGAACTAGTGCATTGTTGATCATTCCTTCATTGAAGCTGAATGCCATGCCATTACCTCTGTTACAGCTGAAATCACATAGTTACTTCATGAACTCAACATCCTTTTACCCATCATGCCTACAATCTACCGTGTTAATGTCAATACTACCTATTAATGTGCAAATTTTACTTTTCATTTGTCTCTCATGTGCCTTTAGATGATTAGCTTGCAAATGCTTTGACCAATCCCTTCTCTCGTTTGTTGATCTCTATTTTTATTTCACTAGAAGGTTTTATTGCTCCCAACAAAAGCGGCAAATGACAAACGAGATGTCTCATAAATCGATGCCAGGATGTCTCAATTGCCATTGAAATTGTTCAGACAATGTCTGATTATAAAATGGAGTGCACATACATCAAAATTACCTAGAAAGGGCATGCATACATGTGAGCCCACGTTACGTAGAATAAGTCTAGATTTGTTAGATCGTCTCTGAATATGCTCAAATGAGAGTTTTTCACAAAACAGGTTGTGCGAATGCGTACGAAACATCAAATTATCATGTGAGATCAACTTGATCATCGAGGCACAATCTCAAGTTGGAAAAATGATAGCCACATTTGATTGATTGATTAATTAGGTAATTATATATATATATATATATATACATATATATATATATATTTATATAGTAATGTAAATCAAAATGAAAAAAAAAAGTTCTAATCCCCATCGAATCTTGAATCCTGCTATTTTCTTTACTTCGTATCCTTGGTACGCCGTGTGTTTCGTCTCTTCGGTTGCAAAATGAGACCAATATTATATAAACCTATCAATATCGATCCTGTTGTTTTCTCCCATCTCACTCTTTTATTGCCGCCCCTCTCTTCCCCCACACTAGTTTTCCTCTCTGGTCAGCTCCCCTGCTTGTATTTCTTTCTCCAGCTCCTTTTCATGCTTCTCCATCTTCAAGAATAATTGACAAACTAACCATGGGAAATGAAGATATTAGAGAAGACCATAATGTAGAGAGCAATCCAAGAGACTCAAGAAGATTCCACGACATTCTAGAAAAAATAGAAAGAATGAGAATATTCCAATGAATTCTAGAATTTTTCACATAACTCCTGAAATATGCTGAAAGAAGTAAGTTTCAGGAGAACTCTAGAGCATTTTGGAAAGTTCTAGAAGCACGTATGTATATATGAGAATAGTGTAGAACTATCTAGGAACTAAACAATTCTAATGTAATCTAGAAAGTTCTTTTAGGCTTGGGGAGCACTATAAATAGGAGCCCCTCCCCCCTCATTTGGAGGCATCCAAGAAAGGATCGAAGAAAAC